TTTTAAGTTAAGCACTCTAGGTTCAAGTTAACTTTGTAGAGGGAAATTAACCGCAAGTATGTCAGTTTCGATGTGATGCGCCAATGAAAGTATTTAAATGGAAAATTTGATCGTCAAGATCATTTTGCATTTTCTCACCAGCCTCATCACAGTACATCACTGTTCCAAAGTCCGAACTCAACAATGCATGGTGTTCACTGCACCTTGAGCCTGTAACGCTTATGCACTCTCTCCGTTTCAAGTCAACCAGCAATCAAACTTGACAGTACTCATCTCAGGCTGTCCAGTTAACCGGAGCCATCAGATCTCGATGCAAAATTAGCCGAATGTATTATGGACAGCCCTTGCTGTTGTCTACTCCAAACCATGAATGGGTGAAAACTTTGCTTCACATTGGCTGTCTATAAATTGACTTAAGAGGACAAATAGTTCTAATTCAGACTCCAATTCTTTTTCCTATTGAATTGGAAGCAGTGAAATACACAGAACACTGGCTACAGAAGTCTTTGGTGAGAAACTATCTGAAACTGTACTGTGGAACAGCAACTTTTATTTTAGATGTTACTTCATGTACTTGTACAAAGTTTAGTTTTCGGTGTACTTTTTGAGAGGCAAACTGCCTTGCTGCTGAACAAACTTGCAGGTATCCTGCAGTCAAACTTGTCTTGCTTGATTTCGTCGTCATCTTCAAACCAATCTGTTGTTCAGCTATCCATCCAGCGAGCAAATTTCTGCTGTGTTTCTCCACCCCACGTTATCTGTACAAGACACTGAACAATCACATACTAGACACTGCAAAAGGCTACATACAAGCAGGCAGACTCTGTGTCCATCATGCGGTTGTACCATGAAAATGTCACCGTCTATGCCCAAGCTGCAACGTCCCTTGCTCAGCTGGACATTCTGGTCTGTACCTTCTTCACCTGTGTCTTCCAGAACCACAGTGACAACTGCTCCGTGGCCTATTCCATTCCCCAGATGGATCATCCACTGATCTGGGATGAAACGGGACCATCTCCCTGGGCACCGATGAACGAATCCTTTGATGTACCAAGCAATGAAAGATACAAACTGTTGAACCACTCGTTGCGAATCGTTGCTTTTAAGAATCCGGCAGAGGCTGACCAGTATGTGTATTCCAGTGCTGAGACTGTGTTGTATGGTTTTGTCCTGCCTGTCCTTCAACTACTAGGGATCCTATCCATTCTGTCTTTTTTCTTCACCCTTTGCAGAGTTGCCTCCATGCGGAATATCACTAATTTCTATCTGACTAATTTGGCTGTTGCAGATTTGATGGTCTTGATTTCAGCGGCCACCCATGAGCAATGTGTGGCTTTGACAACACAAACTGAATTGGATGCATCATATTTGGGGAACTCAGCCCAAGCAGTTCTTACTCTCGTAGTGTACACACGCAAAGTGGGTGTTATTTCATCTATAGCCTTTGTAACACTGCTGTCTTATGATAGATATTTTGCCATTTGTTACCCTTTCCAACACCGTAATCTCAATCTGAAGCGACGGGCAATACGAGCAGCAGTTTGCATATGGGTACTGTCTTTTTCCATGAATTTGAGTGATTTCTTTTATCGGATTCTGGCCTTTAATGTACCACCAATCAAATGTCTTGTTTGGCCAGCTGAAAAAAAGTATAAACATCTATCAGGTAATGTGCAGATGCTTGTGACTAATAATGCAACTGTGCTCACTTTGAATCTGGTTTCAAATTGCATGCTTTTCTGTGTATTCATGTTGAGTTTGGTCCTCACAGTCACTTTCAATATCCTCCTAATTAAGGGACTGCATGCACCAAATCCAACCGGTGATCAGATCAGTGGTCCGTCAAAACATCAACAAAGAGTTACTCTGATACTTGGCATCAACACAGCCGTGGTATTTGTTTGTTTTCTGCCCCAAGCTATATATAGCCTAATTGTAATTTTAGTGGAAACCAGGGAAGAAGTGAATGTAAATGATGGTGTGAAAAGGAAGTTGAATCTGATGATTGCTTGCCTCAGACTCATGAACTCTTCCATTAATTCAGTCCTATTCAATGCAAGTAGTGGAAGGTACAGGAAGGCCTTTAAGCAAGCCTTCTGCTGCAGAAAGAGGCAGCAAGTACCAACGATCAATATCCCTCTGCAGACATTACCAAGAGCAGATCCTGCTGATAGGATCAGATCATAGGATCCAAAGGCAAAACTCCCCCCCCCAAAAAAAAATAGTAGTCTATATAATATACTATGGCATGGTCTATGATATGTGAGCAGATTCACTGATTAATTAGGCAAGACCCCGCCATTTGACCTCCAAGATTTTGACCAATCAGCAGGCGCTTTCTAATATCGGGTCTTTCTAATATCAGTCATTCACATGTTGCGCGTCATAGACAATTGATTAGAAAAAACCTGTCACGCACTCAGTATCATGTTACGTGTTATGCACCCAGCTGTTGTTGCATTACAAAACACTGCATTCGAATTGACCAATCAAACCATTTAGTCCTGATTTGGGAATGAAATGACGTTACGATTTAGTAAAATCAAGTCCAATTGGCTGGCGCACGGCTTGCATATATCTGCATGTCTAGACATATCAGACGTTATACAGGAGACTTGAGGGGTGGGTTGATTCGGGGGGGGGGGGGGGGGGGGGGTCCCCACTGGATTTTTTTTATCTACAATATCTTCTCCTGCATTCTAAGCCAATTCCAGAACAAATTTAGGAACTTCAGCTCTCTGTATATTATTTTGACCCCATTTCATTAGTTTTATTAGTTGGCGACTGAATTGGGGAGTTGCAACACCCCAGCCCCCACCCCTTCTGCCCCCACCCCCTCCCCTCTCTAGATCTGTTACTGCCTCCCTACCCACCGGCCCTTTCTCCACCAACCCTGTAAGGGGGAATTTTCAAATAAATACACACAGTACCACCTCCAAGGGTTATCTGTTGGGCCTTAACACATCGCCGCTACCCCAAATCTTGAAAGCTGAACTATTCCAACATCGATAACTCAACTTGAAAATTGTTCCCATCCAATTTTCTGACCTAAAATGAAAGAGTTGCAGGGGAAGGGCTGGTAACCATATAATTTGCAACTGGATATGGTGTATTGAAACATAGATGGCTCGTGGGAGAGGGGCTTGCATAACTGCTCCATTTTGTTAGGGGAGGGAACATTATCACCATCTTTGCCATATTCATAATAACTCTGGGTTCATTGGTATGCAAGGATTCTTTAGTGCTAATGAATGAGAAGTGGTGAATGGGAACCAGTGAAATGTAAGAGCCATCACTTCCTTCTGGTTCATATTGTAAACAGTGCCCTCTTATTATAGCCACTTTCAGAGTGGTTCTACAAAAGTCCTGTAGGGGCACATTCAAAAGTTTGGATGTTTTTAAATTTTGATGTTTTTTTCTCCAAAATGTGGATGGGTGGGTCAAATTGATTTATTGAAATTTTTGTTAATCGAAATTCACTTTTTTCAATTAAAAAGATAGAAAATAGCTCTTTTGACTTGCCAAATCAACTCTCTGCGTTCCGATTTGTAAACCCTTTGCCTGTACCGTACGGATACAGTATGCATCCGGTACATGTACAATGTACAATGTACCGTGTATTACGTCCATCAGAGCACCATATGCATGGGGACCGGTGAAGTTAGACTTAAAGCATGCTTAAATTCAGTGCGTTTTGCAACGGGAGCAGGATACCACGTTCATTTTGTCTTAATACATGCCACGAGTGTCAGTTGCGAATCGTGACAACGAAGTAAACCTACTTGTGTTCAAGATTACTTAGGCAACCTGCATGCATATTGCATGCGCGTGGTATATATGCATGCTATGAACATGGCAGCGCCCCCACGTCTGAAAAGCGCCAAGACAAATTTTTTTTTTTCAAGCGAACTGACACTTTTTATTACCGTTTAGAATGGACTAGTTGTACATGTACGTGTTTCCAGGTGGATTCCTTATACGTACGGGAATGCAAGTGGGACGTGTTGTTGCAAAGGTACTGTATACGGACTGCAGCTGCATTCCGCCGTCAATGAAATGAACATTCGTTATGTTTTTTATTGAATGGAAAATCAAAAGTTTAAGATCGAAAATTGGGGTGCGTGGGTGGTTGGGTAGGTCAAAACAATTTGGAAATTTTAAAACATCGGAAATTTGGAATGGCCCCTTAACAATGAAAAATTGACTGATCAGCAATCTCAAGATGGTTACACTTTCAACCGACTTATTTTAAGAACTTCACAATTCAAAAGTACACATTGAAAGGCCTAGCCGTACTTTCAATATTTTTCTTTCAATATTTGTCTTAATGCTTGTAAACGTGTGAATTTATTAATAGCATGGAATCGGTTTTGAGGCAACGTTCTTGTGAGAAAATCTACTCCAAGAGAACGAAACAAAGAAGCTAACAAGTTAAGATATAAAAAGAATACCACCCATCATCATGTGATTTTTTCTTTTTATAAAGCACTGTATCTTCAAGTTAAATTTGCAGAGTGAAAGTGACCACATACATACATGAACATGTCAGTTTCGATGCAGTGCACCTGTGAAGGTATTTAAATCGAACACTTGCTCTTCAAGATCATTGTGCATTTCCTGAGCAGCCACATCACAGTGCGTCGTTGGTCCAACTTGCTATAAGTACACAGCGCATGGTGCCTTGATCCTGGAACACTTGTCCATGCATGTATGTACTCTCTCAATGACAACTAAACCAGCAATCAAACTTGAAGTCGGTTCGCATCCCAAGCCAGCCAGTTAACGGGGCCATCACTTCTCTCTGGGGATTGACGTCCCATGCTATGGACATGTCTTGCTTCCTCTGTTGCTTACTCCAAGAAAACACAAAGCAGTGACCAATTGGTGTCACATTTGCTGTTCGTTGATTTGAGAGGGCCACTAGATCTGACAACTCAGTCTTCGAAAACAGACTTCGAATGCAGCTTCAAATTTTATTCCTACCAAATAGGAAGTCGAAACTATCCAGATAGACGTGGCTACATTACTATCTTGGGTCATAACCTACAATACTGTAAACTTTACCAAAGTACATGGCCCTGTGAGCAGTTGTTAGTTACAATTGTACTTCTGGTGCGTGTGCTTCTGAAAAAAACTTTGTTCCATGCATCATATTTGAGAGGCAAGCTGTTAGCTTGTAATTCCCAACTGTACTGCTGCTGAATAAACCTCCAGTCATCCTCACCATTCATACTTGTCTCGCTAGATTTCGTTGTCATCTGCGAACCACTTCTTTGTTCAGCTCGTCATTCAGGGAGCAGACTTCTGCTGGGTTTCTCTGCCCCACGTTATCTGTACAAGACACTGAACAATTGGATTTACTAGTATTTGACACTTCTGCACAGACGCGGGTAGCAGCAAGACTCTGTGTCAATCATGTCGTCGTACTACGCAAATGTCACCATCTATGCCCAAGCTACAAAGTCCCTTGCTCAGCTGGACATTCTGGTCTGTACCTTCTTCACCTGTGTCTTCCAGAACCACAGCGACAACTGCTCCGTGGCCTATTCCATACCCCAGATGGACCATCTTCTGATCTGGGATAAAACGGGACCATCTCCCTGGGCACCAATGAACGAATCCTTTGATGTACCAAGCAATGAAAGATACAAACTGTTGAACCACTCATTGCGAATCCTTGCTTTAAAGAATCCGGCACAGGCTGACCAGCTTGTGTATTCCAGTACTCAGACTGTGTTGTATGGTTTTGTCCTGCCTGTCCTGAAACTATTAGGGATCCTATCCATTCTGTCTTTTTACTTTACCCTTTGCAGAGTTCCCTCCATGCGGAATATCACTAATTTCTATCTGACTAATTTGGCTGTTGCAGATTTGATGGTCTTGATTTCAGAGGCCACTCATGAGCAATGTGTGGCTTTGACAACACAGAATAAATTGGATGTATCATATTTGGGGAACTCAGCCCAAGCAGTTCTTACTCTCTTAGCGTACACTGGGGATGTGGGTGTTATTTCATCTATAGCCTTTGTAACACTGCTGTCGTATGATAGATATTTTGCCATTTGTCACCCTTTCCAACACCGTAATCTCAATCTGAAGCGACGGGCAATACGTGCAGCAGTTTGCATATGGTTTCTGTCTTTTTCCTTGAATTTGATTTATTTCGTTTCTCAGTTTCTACGATTTAATGTACCATTATTTAAATGTCTTGTTTGGCCAACTGAAGAAAAGTATAAACATCTATCAGGTAATGTGTGGGTGTTTGGGAATAATGATGATGCAACTTTGGGCACTTTGAGTCTGGTTTTACATTACATGTTTTTCTGTGCATTCATGTTGAGTTCGATCCTCACAGTCACTTTCAATATGCTCCTTATTAAGGGACTGCATGCACCAAATCCAACTGGTGATCAGATCCGTGGTCCGTCAAAACATCTACGAAGAGTAACTCTGATACTTGGCATCAACACAGCCGTGGTATTTGTCTGTCTTCTGCCTCAAGCTATATGTGCCCTAATTGTAATTTTATCCCATAGCAGGAAAGAAGTGGATGTAAATGAGGATGTGAAATGGGGGTTGAATTTCATGGCTGCTTGCCTCAGAGTCATGAACTCTTCCATTAATTCAGTCATATTCAATGCTGGTAGTGGAAGGTACAGGAAGGCCTTTAAGCAAGCCTTCTGCTGCAGAAAGAGGCAGCAAGTACCAACAAACAATATCCCTCTGCAGACATTACCAAGAACAGATCCTGCTGATCGGATCAGATCATAGGATCCAAAAGCAAAACTACACCCCCCCCAAAAAAAAAAAGAGATAAGAAAAAAAACCTAGACTTATGTTCTGGACAAACAGTTGATTCCGCAACTTTTTTTGTGACATATATATGTGACATGGAAGGTATCAAGTATGAGTTCCATCCAGGAACCTGGGTGGGACAGCTTGAGGCTGACCATACTCTGTCAGCCCTGACCTGTGGCTCACCTCGACTGATCGGTTGGAGTGGGTGGCTCAACGTCCCCTAGCTGGATTTGGAGACTGATGATGAGGAAAAATGTGTAGTTCTGTTTATAATATATAGTGGCATGTAAATATGTGATTACATTCTCATTGGCTTTGAATTATGATGTCACATGTCACGTGATGACGTCATGATGACATCACATCAATTTTCATCTATTATCATCTATAACAACCTTCCGCTAGAACGATCTCTAACATTTTATGACATCACCGTTAATTTTTTTTGGAAAGAAAAACTTAACCAGAGCATACATCGTTGAAAGCAAGTTTGCACATCTTTTACCAATTTTAAATTACAAAGCACATCCAGTTTTAACTGGAAGGAAGTGTCACATGATTTTGCACGTACTATCAAAAATGAAGACCAAGGATTATTCTATCAATTCCAAAAAAAGTCATGTTCAGATCTCTCACGGTTAATTTTATCTTGATTTTCAAAGATTAAATATATTCATCTTAAACGTGATGTCACTTGACCCATGATGACGTCACCATGAAGTCAATTTATTTTTTCATCTATAACACACCCCGGTCTAGGTACAAACCAACTTTCAACCCAATTGGACCTGTAGTTCTGTACACATAGGCCTTCAAAATATTCACCTATAATGTGATGTCACGTGACACGCGATGACCTCATGATGACATCAATGTTCGACACATACATGTATCTGCAGGTGTTGGTCTCTAAGTATCTCTTGTGTGCCAAGTATAAAGGCAATCAGATTGATTTTAGTGCCCAAAGTGCCGGAAACAAACAAATGACTGAAAAAGAAAGAAAAAGAAGAGAAAAAAATTCTTAACGAAAACAAAGGCTGTTTCGTCATGTTTGCCGATACAGCCAATAATGCAATCCTCTCTTCCAAAAGTTTCTATAACTTCCAAAAGCTGCATAGTAAATTATTGTTTAGAAACGCAAATTAGAAATACTGGCATTTGCAGCACGTCAGTTTTTATGTTGGGGGAGGCTAGGCATACTTTGTTTTAAAGAAATAATTTAACTCCTTTTACAACTACATTTTTGATTTCCACAAAGCAACAATTTTCAAATGTAAACAAAAATAAGTCTCAACACTCTTGATCATTACATGTACAATGTATCTGTAAATTAAACTGTACATAAAACCATAGAACTCACACTTGTTTCCATGTAAAAATGAAAAGAAATGTATTACATTTGTACAGAGATTGTAATGGTATTAAACACACTGTATCATCCATGCTGTTATTTTGTGTGTTTCCTTTGTTATCACAATACTTGCTTTCTATGGGTTCCCCCTGAATTAAGTGCATTTGTAACGCTGATAACAGAATTAAAGAAAGATCTCCAAGAAAGCCTTTCTGTTACATTGTTATTAGTTACAAGTTTTTTCTTAAAAAATAGTACTTTTTCTGAACGCAAATTATTGTATATTCCCTTTAACACACCCTTGCTACCTGAAATCTTTAAAGGTGAAATATCCCAACATTGATAAAACAATTTATTCCACTCAATTTTCTGACCGAAAAGGAAGGAGGTGGAGGATATTAGAGCTGACGTTCGATAAAATATCAAGTAGTGTTTGGTGTATTGAATAATATATGGCTCATGGGGGCGGGGCTTGCACAACTACCTCCTCAAGATGGGTACACGTAGGTGAAGGTAAACTTGCATATTCTGCACAAACCCCGCCTTCCCTGGTGCTCAGTCATTCTTAAATGTTACAGGATAAGTGTGAAATGGGAACCATTGAAATAGAGGAACCATCATATTTTCGTGGTGTAGCTGGGGGGGGGGGTTACTTTCTGTAAATAGCGCCCTCTTTTGTCAATGCACAGAGGAGTTTCAAGAGTTGACAGGGCTACGGGTTATGACGAACTGGTTACTACCAACTGAAGTCAATCAACTTTCACATTACGAAAGTGAAGTACTCCTTTCAACTGAAGTCAATCAACTGTCACAATACGAAAGTGAAGCATTCCTTTGGCAGGCCCAGCTGCACTTACAAGTTCCCCTTGTTGAGATCGATTTAATATTTTTAGTAGTGAAAGTTTTTTTCCCAACATGCTATCGGTTTTCAAAGCAAGTTTTGTGAGAAAATCAACTTTAAGAGCTCCCAACAACAAAGCTTCTGGTTCCTGGTTTAGAAATCGAACGGGACGTCCCCATCATCGTGTGATTCAAATAACCATCATTCAAGGTCTTGATTATACAAAAATTCTTATTTTCATGTAGGCCTTATGCAAAATTCTGTTGCCTCATAGACAAAAACGTAAATCGGGTACCGTAGTAAAAAGCTTCACAAATGGTTAATGCAATTAACTTCATTTTTTCACACAAGCTTTCTGATGAATGTATGTCATTCTTACATGGTTGAAATAAAAAGTTCAAAACTTCAACTTGGTTTTGAGGAAAGTGTGGCGCCTTGGCATTATTGCAGGTTTTTTTACTCGCCTTGTAGGAGAATTTGGAATCTTCAGCTGGATAAACACTAATCTGATGAACATGGTGATGCATTTTGTATTAGTCATACATTGTTAGTAGTTCGACACAGTTGCTAGTGCAACTGCAGTCTAATTGTATTCATTGTGATACTTTATGAGCGACGATCATACATCCATTAACCCTCCTGCTGTCTAAAAGTCACAGGCAGTCAACAAAAATACACATGCCTTTTACACAGGCTAGGCACCAACAGTCAGATCATATTTCTAGCAAGCACTGTAAGTAGTCAAATTCAGTCAGCAGACAAGTGGTAGGCACAGCTGGCTTATCAATCAGCTACAATCAAAGCATAGCTGTACCAAGTTACATGAACAGTCATAGCCAGTCAATACTGCTTTATGTCGGCTGGGAGCTCTTGACTGTTGAAAACAGTCACTTGACTGAAAGAACAACTTGGCACAGAATGTATGTTTGCATAGGAGTGTTTAAAAATGTGATACTTTATGGGCTTTAGCAACGATCATACATCCATTAATTAAAGTCTAACTGCAATCAATTAACCCTAACCGCCTAGAATTCTTCAAAATTTTCTTTGCCAAAGTGGAGGAATTTGGAGGATTGAGTTTACATGGCAAAAGTGCGTTACTGATTTTTTAGGATGCACTTTGTCAAGGTCTTGGGCTGGACCTTGTGTTGTTTTTGCTTAGCAGTGCATAAATATAGGCCTGGATTATGCTTGAAATCCTCCGTTCTGCTCCAGGATGTCATTGGCCAAGCCTCAAAATATTGACGGTCACTGCCGCAGGATTGTGCCAGATTCAGGCAGTGGTCACCCCTCTGCGGACCATATTTAAGAAATAATGGAGGAATTTGCAGGATTGAGGCTATATGATATTTTTCTATGAGGCCAATTGGAAGATTTTGCAGGATTGAGGCTAAATCCTAGCCTAAATGCCTAGGGAGTTAGTTAATAGTGCAAGTCTTCATTTTCATTGTTTGGTTTTGGTCTCTGTGTTGGTCTTAAGGATTTCAATGTATTGGTCTTTGAAGTAAAATTCTTTGCCTTGGAAGTACAGGTCTCGGTCTTGGTCGCCGAGTTGGCAGTCTTCAAGACTTGGGGTTAAATAATTACAACTGTTGCGAGATTTGTTGAATGACTAGAAAGTGGTCTAATAGTTTTCTGGGGCCCGAAGTTTTTCTTCAAAGCCTTTTTAGTCACACATTTGGGAAGAGGAACAAAAGAAAAGTCTCGATTTACACCATACACAAACGTGTATGTCTGTGTGTGTGTGTTATGTTTTGGTTAGGTTAACTCTTGTCAGCACGATAACTTGAGAAATACTTTACTTAGGAACTTGAAATTTGGAGGAATTGTGAAGTGGGAGGAATATCATCGCTCGGTAAAATCTGGACTTTTCCATTTCAGTCAGCTTGGCCTGGTGACACAGAAAAGTCCAGATATTACCTTGTGATAATATTCCTCCCATTCCACTCTGAGCCGCTCAATATTTGTATAATAATACCCCCATGAAAGATGTGTGCTTCACAGTATTGGATCTGCAGCAAAAACTCCTGGACCGAATCAGCAGATCATGGTATCATATTTCTTCTAAGAAGATTCTCCATCCATTGGTACAGATGGTTTGAGTCTCAAGGTAGTGGAAGTATGCCATTGGGGGCCACCCTGTATAGTAGACTGTGGACTGGCAATTCTCAAGAGTCAGTTTGTGGTCTGTGGTGGGCGTGTCCAACTAGAATCAATGAATGGAGGCTGGTGACCTGAGCTGTTAATCAAAAATTGTTGCATAAGGCTACCTCCGCGAAGGGGCCACGTACAGAGTAGTTCTACAATATTTAATGAAAACAGACTTTATTGATCAGTGATCCCAATTTGGTTAAATTGTTGACCAACTTATTTCATGAACTTGCACAATACAGAAGTGCAAAGTGAAAGGCCTACCGGAAGCTGTACTTTGAATATTTATCTGAATGCTAACATGTGAATTTATCTATGTAAATAACAAGGTATCAGTTTTGAGGCAACTTTATTGATAAAATAATCGAATTTCGAGAGAAAACAAATAAAAAACCCAAAAAAGCCACATGTTTAAAAATCAAAAGGGATCACCATCATCATGTGATTAGTTTCTTGTTATATAAAACATAATCAGGTTGAAAGTTTACTTTGTAAGTTTTGATTTGGCATTACGTCAATTAAAATATTTCAGTTTTAGCACAGCATGTTCAAGTTAACTTTGTACAGGGAATTTGACCAAAAGTATGTCAGTTTCGATGTGATGTGCCAATGAGAGTATTTAAATGGAAAATTTGAACGTCAAGATCAT